TAAAAATACGTAGTTACGTATATTTGGTGTACCTTCCATCCTGGCCACCTGAACACAGCAGAAAATCAGTAGTGAATAAACATTAAGAACAAAACCCCAATGTGAAATTTGGACCATTGAACATATTTTACCAATGGAATTTTGTTACTTTCTAGCGGAGGAATGTTCACTGAAATGGCACCTGAGTGTGTGATTTGTGACATTGGAAGAGACTAACCCACTCTGGTGTGTGTCTTGAGTGTGAACCTGTTTTAACCCCTTGAATCTAAGGAACTTCGCGCTAAAAAAGTAGACTTAAAAGTGAGATTACGAAAGGCATAAAAAGAAAGGTTTGCACTTGTACAGCGCCACAACAAGACATCTCAATCTGCTGTCGAGCCAGAGAAGTACTATTTGACATGCAGGATAGGTGACTGGTTACACGTTGGAATTTCCCCCAAACAGCAGCGTGATATTAAATATTCGGAAGGTTACCCGCTCTTCTTCGAAATACTGCAATGAGATATTTTACCTCCACCTGACAGACCAAGTGGGAGCTGGATATAATGTTTCATTAGATAAAAACCATTTCTAGCAGTGCAACACTTCAGTGTTGGGGCCACAACTTTTCATTTTATACATTAATGATCTAGATGAATGAACTGAGGGCATTCTGGCTAAGTTTGCAGATGATACAAAGATAGGTAGAGGGGCAGGTAGTATTGAGGAGGTGAGGAGGTTGGAGAAGTGTATAGACAGGTTAGGAGATTGGGCAAAATGTGACAGATGGAATGCAATGTGGGAAAGTGTGAGGTCATGCACTTTGGTAAGAAGAATAGAGGCATAGACTATTTTCTAAATGAGGAGAAAATTCAGAAATCTGATGTACAAAGGGACTTGGGAGTCCTAGTCCAGGATTCTCTTAAGGTAAACTTGCCAGTTCAGTCAGTAGTTAGGAAGGCAAATACAATGTTGGCATTTATTTCAAGAGGACTAGAATATAAAAGCAGGGATGTACTTCTGAGGCTTTAGAAAGCTCTGGTCAGATCACATTGAGAGTATTGTGAGCAATTTTGGGCCCCACATCTCAGGAAAGATGTACTGGCCCTGCAGCAGATCCAGAAGATGTTCCTGAGAATGATCCCAGAAATGAAGGGCTTAATATGTGATGAACATTTGAGGACTCTGGGTCAATAGTCAATGGAATTTAGGATGAGGGGCAAAACCCAACTGAAATTTACAGAATACTGAACACCCTGGACAGAATGAATGTTGGGAAGATGTTTCCATTCATAGGAGAGACTAGGACCCAAGGGTATAGCTTTAGAGTAAAGGGAAGACCCTTTTAGAACAGAGATGAGAAGAAACTTCTTTAGTCAGAGAGTGGTGAATCTATGGAATTCATTGCCACAAAAGGCTGTGTATGCCAATGTGTAGGTAATATACTTAATGTATATTTGAGACAGAGATAAATAGTTTCTTGATTGTCAAGGGGATGAAAGATTACAGGTAGAAAGCTGGAGAATGGGGTTGAGAAACTTATCAGCCATGATTGAATAGAGGAGGAGACTCGATTGGCTGAAAGGCCTAGTTTCTGCTTCTATGACTGTGGTCTTATAGTCTCCTCAGGAATGTACCATGCCAGCCTTGATTTTTGTGCTTATTTTCTAGACTGGAACTCAAAATCTCTTGGATAATGAAAATGTGTAATTCTCTTCACCAAAAAGCAGTGAATACTAAGTCTTTTTTTTAGAATTAATAGATTTTTAACAGCTGAAGAATTAAAGAGATGAAAGACAAAGGTGGGTGTACGGTTTTAGGACACTGATCGACCTGATTTTGAAAGACAGGCATGTTCGAGGAACTAAATAGTCTTTTTCTTGTTTCTAATGTACCTGTGAGAGTAAGCATCTAAATCAGATTGTGACGCCAAGGATTGAGAGTAAAGAGTTTACAGGCCAATTTGACTGTGAACAGTTCACGGGTAAATCTGGTTGTGATCCTGTGAATTGAGAATAAACAGTTTACAAACTGGTCTAATTGTGATCGTGTGGAGCCGTTCTTATTGTAATCCTGTGGATTGAGAGTCAACAGTTTACAGACTGGTTTGAGTGTGATCTTGTGGATTGAGATTAACAGTTTACAGGCGGTTCTGAATGTTGGGTACGCTGCTGATTGGTCCTTCGTCACAAACGCTCCATTGTGATGTTGTTTGGTTGCCGCGGAAGCAGCCGTGTTGAGCCGAGTTCTGATTGGTCGTTGCCGAGGGTGTGTCAGTTGTGTCGGAGTAGGGTAGCGCTTGGATTGACTGCAGTGGAAGTGAAACTCGAGTTTGGTGCTGCACATGGAAACTAGTCCTACTCGGAGAGAGCTTCCACCCGCCTTGAAATACACACCGAGTCGTTGAAAAAAAAACTGTGGCGCAGCTTCATTGCAGATCCATTTGGAACGATCCCTTTTATATACCAAGCTATTGGATGTACCAAGACTGTACTCCCTGTTCCAAATCTACGCCGCTGCATATCTGTCATATTAAAAAAAGTTTTCTGGACATCATTGATTTTGGATAGAAGCAACATATGTCGTATAACATAACATCAGTCGCACTCGATAATAATCCCAACAACACATTGAAAAACGTAAAGATAACTTAGAAATCCGAAGTATCTTGAGAAATACTCAGCAAGAGGTAATTTCAATTTTTGACTTAAAGTTAGGTTTCTCATGAGCTTGATCAGTGGCATTTAGATATCGGTTGAAACGTAACAAATGCCATTTCAATGTGGGTCAGCATTAGACATTTTCTGAATTAATCTTCACCATTATCAATGCTCTGCATTCGAACTTCCAAAATTCACTAATCAGCTCACTTTGGTGACATGGCTTTATTTAATGAAGAATTCAATTAGAGGTAATACATCCGGTGGATGGTATCTTTCCGCAACACTTATACAAAACATGTAGGTATAATCAAATGATAAAACATTCAGGTCCAAAAAATTGTTGAAACGTAAACGCTTGTCCACACCTGTTAGTTGATTTATAATGTAAGGAGTTGTAAAATTCAAATGACAATGATTTATTCACAAGAGGATCATTAACAGACATTCTGCAGACTGCATCGACATGTAGCACAAGCTTCAATAACATCTGCTGGACACATGTTGACCACTACCAGACAAAGAAAAATCGCTTAGTAATATAACGGTCAGCTACTGTTTATCAAAAGCACATTGTTCATTCGTCTAAAGCTAACTACATGTTTGCTTAGATCTAGAATCGAAAACATTCATGCTAAGTACGATATCAGAAATATTTAATCAATTCCACACAAATCCGAAACTATTCGCTGCAACTTGGTTCACACCAGGCGTTATGGAGTAATAAAATGTACATTATTTTGTATGTTCAAGGGGGCATGCACCCAGACTGAAATGTATACAAATGTTTCCTTCATTCCAGCCACATGGCCAGCATTGCAGATCTCTGAAGAATCCTTTCTGTCTGTTCTCTGAATGGAACAGCTGTTGATGGATGAATGATGTAACTCCTGCCAGGAATTACTAGTGCCTCTCGCGTCTCTATGGTTTCAGCCTGGCGGCATTTACTACAAAGTACAGAACAAATGGGGTGGGACAGGATGCTGCCTTTTAGCACAGGGTTCATTGCACAAGAGCCTGTCGCGTATTTCGGTGTGCATCTCCCTTTTAATTGATCTTGCCCAGCTTACCTTATTGTATTTACGGTGCACGAGTTAAAATTGCATACATATATGCCAGGTGTATGTTCACATTATATATTATATAGTGTATAAGTCTTCACTTTCTCCATGCATTCGACTCAACGCAGCCGCCAAAAACTGAATGAACAGTTAATGAGACGAACAAATTCAGGGAGAACACATACAATGCCAGGATTCTGCATTCATGCGGTGGAACTTGCCAGTCACTCGCGGATACAGCGAACTTCTGCGCATATTGCTGCGACGCAGCATTGTTTTAATTGTACAAAGGTTGCGCCTTGTTGCGTCTGTCTCTGGCGTTTTGGGAAGTGCAATGTGTGAAACTGTCCGGGCATTCAGCTATCTCACACCAGAGTTAAAACGGCCACAAAACTGACAGGGCCTGAGAGGATTTCTTGTTGGTTTAAATATTGTGTGTATGTGTGTTGGATGGTGGGGTTGGGGGTGTTAGTGCAGGCATGAAATACATGACCAGCAAGGGTGGACGGAGAAAAGCCAATTAGCAATCACTCTCAAAAAGAAATTCAACACTCGCTTGACGAGGAAACGGGAGAAACTGCACAGGGACTCGGAAGCGGCTAGACACTAGGGTAAACTGAATCATTCAAAGGGCTGGCACGGGCAGAATGGGCCGAAACGCCTCCCACTGCGCTGTATTCCCATCCATGATTTTACAAGAGGGACCTGCAAACAGCTTGAAGAAGTAGCGTTTTATGTATCAATTCATGAAGAGGACAGCGAGGGGGGGACGGGTTGGGTGGGTGGAGAGACCACCTCAGGATTCACAGCAGAGAGGCTTCTTCCTGCTACAGGAAGCAAACGGGAACCCGAGTGAAACATCCGAACACGTGCCTCTGTTGTAATGTTTCAAACGTGTGCGGAAAGTTGAGAGCAGCAGCAGCAAGCAAGCAAGCAGCCTCTGGACTCTGCACAGCAAGGTCCCAGGCTGGAATCCGGGAGTCTCCGCCATGCGCCTCCCATCCTGATTTGTCAAACTTGGGCATGGTTTCTAGGCGCCTGATTGGACCGAGCCAATGACAACACCTGCTTCTTGCCTTCATTGAAGTGACAGGATCGCCAGGGGCTCCAGTCTGGGTATATTTAGAGAGAGTCAGCCCCTGTCTCAGGATTCCTGGTCAGCCCCCCGTGCGCTCACTCAGCAGCTCTCCTCCTACTGTCGGTGTGTGTGTGTGTGTGTGTGAGAGAGAGAGAGAGAGAGAGAGAGTGTGTGTGTGTGTGTGAGAGAGAGAGAGAGAGAGAGAGTGTGCGCCTCCTGGCCCCCAGACAGCGCGGCGATGGACACTGTCATGTTAGCCCGTCTCCTCACAGCCCTGCTCACTCTCGCACCGCCTGAGCTCGCCCTGGGGACGGACGAGGCTGAATTGCCGGAAAACCACCACGAACGGGACAAATTGACCAACCAGCAAAAAGCTCGCCTCTCTTTACAGAACACAGGTATGTAAGAGCTTTCGGCAGCCAGTCTACCCGAGTAAGCATGCAGTTTGATTCAGCCTCTGCTGTGGGGCACAAGTCTTGCAATTAATAAAGAAGCTTACCCACAGGAAAAAAGGGCAAAAACTGTGCTATGAGAGAGGCAATCGTGGGATTAAAGCAGGAGCCCATCTCAAATTTGCCTGCACTTTGTGATGTTTATGCGGTTAGCTCTGTCCACGAGCGGAGGTGATAGGCTGGAGGCATTTAGATCAATGCGGATTGAATTGAGAAGTAATTAAGAAAATGTTGTTGGGAAGGCATTTCAGTAACCGCCTTGACACGAAAAACTAAACCCTACCAGTTTAGAGTAACGCAGGATCAATTATTTATACACACCGTTTCTAAAGTATTAGACGGTTTTGCATGATCAGTTCCGAGAGATCATTGTCCCATGGTCGGATTGCATTGTATCACATTGGGAAGACTTCGTGTCGACAGCCACGCACACCTCGTTAGCATATTAACCCCTGGAGTACCTTGCAGGGAAGCGATGGAGGTAGGCGGTGACTTGCAAATGTCTCCCCTTGGGGATGAAGGAAGAAATGGCATCAACAAAGGGCACCGGGAAAATAAAACAGACAGAATCGCGCCGCTTGACTGAAACCGGCGTTTCGAAAATCAAGTGTGAGGAGACTGAACGGGATTCCAAGAAGTTATGTGGTGGCGACCGTGTGGCAATGAGAGTTAGTAAGAGCGGACAAACTCGACTGCTAAATTTCCAGCTGATGTCTCCTAAGTAGGGGAACAGAAAGCGGCAGGGATGTAAGAATTCCCATGGCTTCAGGATGCGGAAACAGGCAGGTTTTCACAGGGAGCAGTCGTTATATTTTTTAGAAGCCATAGATTTGGGAGATAAATCATGATCAAAGCACATTCCCGAAACTTTCCATCCGCTAACAAGGAGGATGCAGATATCCAGGTCACTCATGCGGTAGCTTAGGTTTTTATCCGAGATACTCAGCACCTGAACGTACAAAATTCGCTATTATTTGATGGGGCTGGGGTATAAATAAAAGGCTGCCCTTGTGTTGGTATAGCGCCCTTTATTTTCGATTTCGGACCACCCCCAAAGCGCGTTAAGAGTCATAAAGTACCTCTGGAAGTGTAGTCTCGCCTGAGTTGCTCGGTTTCATGCTTGCTCTCCTTTCGCGTCTCTTCTCAGCTGAGATACAACACTGCCTGGTGAACACAGGCGACGTTGGCTGTGGAGTTTTTGAATGTTTTGAAAACAATTCGTGCGAAATCCATGGACCACATGACATATGCTTGGCCTTCCTGCACAACGCTGGCAAGTTCGATGCCCAGGTAATAAATCAGAGAGAGAGAGACAGAGAGCAAGTCAGAGCAATATAACGTAACTTGCCGCTCCCCTCCCACAAAACATTTTAAATTGATACCACTGTAATTTCACCACATGTCAAGTTATATTCTCAAAAACTGTACCAGTTTTCTTAAAAGATGCATTTTGAAGATGCCACCTCCCAACATAAGCTCTTATTCATATTTTTAAATTGATGCAACTTTCTTTCACAGACGTTTTACAATTTGCACTCTTATAATCTGTCCAGGGTAAATCTTTTATTAAAGATACTCTGAAGTGTATGGCTCATGGATTGAGAATAAAATTCAGCTGCATCAGTCGGAAATGCTCCACTATCCAGGAGATGGTATCTCAGTTGCAGCAAGAGTGCTACCTCAAACATGACCTCTGTTCCACCGCCAAGGAGAACATTAATGTGGTTGTGGAGATGATTCATATTCGGCATCTGCTTTCAAAAGGGTAAGTAATAAAAGGGGCTGCCTATGATTTGCTTACTCTGCAGCAAACAGAGTATAAATTGCATCATGTGTAAATATTTATGGTCAAAATATTACTATTCTGTGTATTCTGCTCAAGGACTACACAGATAAGACAAACACACAGTATTTAGTGTGCTTTTAAAGGTCACAGGAAATATGTTTAACTCATGGTTAGTGTATGAGTGTAATTTTTAGCATTAAACCCATTAGTAATCTTACATTAATTTGTATACTTGCATATATTTTGTATAAGGGTTTTATTTTATGAAAGGAGTAAAATTTACACATTCCACTATTGGGATAAAATTAGTTGCATTGAAATAACTGGTTAGTATAAAAAGATATTAGCAATGGATTTTGCTGATGAAAACTACTAGTGCGTAAATAATCTTTAAAAATTATATGAAAAGGTGTTTCTACCATATATTGCTGTCACTGAAAATTGGTTTTTATTTTCACCTTTGAATTATTGAAACTCACAAGTGCCATGTGATTAATATGTGCTTTTTTATTTTATATTTGCATTTGTAAGGAATAAAACTCAAAGTATCTTAAACTTGTGGGGTGAGAAATCCTAATTATGTCCTCGAAAGATCTTATTTATACGTTAACCAACGTTTGCAGTATTTAGCAAGTTGGATATTTTGTTTAACTTCATTCCATTAGAAAGAACTGCGAACTTTTGGTCTCAACAGTCAATAGACATTTAAATAAAAGTAACTATTTTGCAGTTCTATACATGAAGATCGAAATATAGGATTGTGAAGTCAATCCTTTTGAGTAAAATAATGTGTGAAATGTTATAACTTATTTGAAGGTAGCTTTGTGAAATTTAGTTAACTTTTCCAAAATTGAATTTCACATTGAAATTGGCGAGTGCAATAGTGAGATACATATCACAAAATTCTGGGTTATAAACCCCAGTTAATGCTGAATCATCTGGACACCATTTTGTATCCCAGCGTTACAGTACTGCAAGCTCAAGAGGGTTACAATTCTCTCTCAATTTCAATGATCTCAAATGGAAAATGTATGCTTGTATGACCATTTCTTAAAGATCAGAAGGAACTAGGTTGTTATTTTCAATTTGAAAAGTTGTAGTAAAAAGCCAAACCTCAAAGTTCAGGAAACTGTTAGTGTTCACAGCACCTCTTTGGAATGTTGCAGAAAGTAAATAAAGGAAATCAGGTAAAACAAGATGAAGAAATTAGGTAATGCTCGAGTTATAGGCTAACTCTACATATTTTAAATTTGTATGTTTCAACACAACACAGCGCAGAGTCAGTTGGCATTGCGGAGCTTTCCTTTTGGAAATTTGTAAATTAGTTTTGACTGTAGGAAATGATCTAAAATGGGTGATATTGAATTAACAGCCCAAATCCCCATTTCACAGGTTTCATTGGAAACAAAAATAAGGCTAGTGAATAATGAGTGCTTAATTTGCAATTGCCTATTGTAGACCATTGCCCAAAGTTGAAAATAAAAATCAAAGACAAAGGTTGAATGTGCCGTGAAGCTCAAATTTGAGGCCTAAGAAAAGAATGAAATGTGCTTGGAAACTGAGCAGTAAATTTGCATGTCAAGACAGGGCGGTTGGGAAGGAGAGAAACTATAAGAAACTGTACATACATTGTCTGCAATAGAGAAAACAGGAAGAATGTTGACTCAACAGAGAGAGAGAGTGGGGCCCAAAGAAAGAAGTACACTAAATGGAGAGTTTAGAGGTCAAAAGGAGAAAGGAAATGGTTATCAAGTCAGAAGCCATTTCATGAATCCTGTTCAGTAATGACAGAGCCATGAGAAAAGCCTCCTGGTTTAGCAACATATGTAAGAACTAGATATACATTGTTTACTCAGGGCATCTCTATTAATACTCAAATATTTGGTGTGAAATAGAAAGTTTCTTGGAAGCAACTTTTGAAATGAAAGAATTCTATATTGAGGCTAAAGAAGATAGAGAGAAAAAAAATTAATTTAGAGAATAAATAAGTATCAAATTATTAGAGAAAATGATTTTTCTTTCCAAAAGCAAACTATTGCAGATGTTGGAGATATGAAATAAGAACAAAGAAATGCTAGAAATGTTCACCAGGTCTGGCAGTATCTATGGAAAGAGAAAAACCATTTTTCCTGATTGCTGCTAGAACCACCAAGTACTTCCAGCATTCTGTTGTTTTTCTAATAATTGTTGATTAGACTTCAGGGAAATATTTCATGGAGTAAATTGACTGTAAATGGGCAGAAAAGTCAAAAAAAAAGAGTGGTTTTAGATTTTCCACTGAGGGCTTGGAGAGGATGAAGATATTGTGATCTGTGATCCAATCATTGAAGTGTTAGAAAATTAAAGGTTGTGTGTATTATAGACATGATCTGTAGACGTTTTAAAGTAGAGTAGAATCATTAACTAAGTATGGATAGCGTTGGCTGATTGTAGGATTCATTCAACCATTGAATTAAGAATGGATTATGCTACCTTTTGCATTCAAATAGCCATCAAAACTAACCATGTTAATACTTGAGTTAGATGTCTATGATGGATCTCATGGGATAAAAATTAAAATAGTGATACCAATGGACAAATGCATTTGTATAAAATTTCTCTATCATTTCTTTCAACAGAGATGTTAATCAAGTTAATTACCTTTTTTTATTAATTCATGACATAAGGATTTTATATACCATCCCCAATTGCTTCTGATACAACTGATGGCTTGCTAGGTCATTTCAAAGGGCACTTAAGAATCAACCACATTGCTGGGGTCATGATTAGGCCAGAACAGGCAAAACATTCCTTAAATAACATGAGTGAATCAAGTACATTTTTCCAACAACAAAGTATTTTTTTTAAAGTTCCACCTTTTAATTAATTAGCTAGTTTCTGAGATGAGATTTAAACTCATGTCTGCAGATGATTAGACTCTGTTCAATCTCTAGATTACTGGTCCCATAACATCACGAATATGCTACTGTAGCCCTCCAATATCGTTTGCACCTAAATGCCACATTACACTGGACTATGACCATGATGAAAATGCTGCAATATATATTTTTATTAATTATTCATGGAATGTGGTTGCTGGCTAAGCCACAATTTATTGTCCATTCTTAGTTGCTCAGAGAGCAGTTAAGTCAACCATATTGCCATGGGTCTGGAGTCACACTTGGGCTAGACCAGGTAAGGATGGCAGTTTCCTTCCCAAAAGAACTAGATGGGTTTTTTCCAACAATCGACAATGGTTTCATGGTCATCATTAAACTCTTAATTCCATGGTAACCTGCCTGCTGGATTGAGGGTAGGAGTGCTCCTTAAGTTTCTTTTTGAATACAAATTCCATTCCATGTCAGGATTCAAACCAAGGTCCCCAGAACATTACCTAGATCTCTGGATTAATAGTCCAGGGATAATGCCATGGGACCATTGCCTCCTTGGATTTGTAAGTCTAAGAGAAAGAGTTTCTTAATCTAAATTAGACTATACACTTATGCAGACATTCAAATATGCTGAGTTGTGCTTATTTACAGTTAATGTGTCAAAAGTAGTGGATTTACCAACTGAAGCATAACTGAAAGAATGTTTGTGTTGAATTTTGTTGAAGTAGGGATAATTTCAAACACTGCAGTTGAAATAAAATTAAAGTCATGGTCTTCCAATATTATATTTAAACTTAGGGGTGAACATGTTAAGTGGTGAATAACTTGACATCCCCACTACTGAAATACCTTCCCATTTGCCTGCCAATCAGCTCATTCAACCCTTTCACTGCCCTAGCCACCAATGTCCCAGGTCACCAGAAGTTGCCAGCCGCTCAGGGGCTGGTAGCTTCTGTGTCCTAATGTCCACCCGTTGAGGCCGAATCTATGGGGAAATTTAGCAGTGAGATTGTAAGTCAATTTTATCATCTTGTCATGGGGTTGGGCTTGTAGGGTGAAAGGTGGTCAAGGCAAGTGTTGCCTTCACTAATTCATGCTTTCTGCCCTAATCTGGGGGCAGTTGGAACACCCTACACTCAGCTACAGGCAAGTCACCATGGTTTCCCAGTTGGGTAACTAAGTACATTCCTTACCCATCGTAAAGGCAGGTGGATGGGAAAATGATTAGTAATTGATTACCTAAAGGCCTTAAATGCTGGTGAGTAACAAACATTCCCAATGGACCTTCTTTGTTGACCACAATTTTTGAGGTGGTGAGAAGTGGTGGTTTTTCAATGAGACCAACTTGCACCATTATTTTCACTTCTCCCCACCTCAATTGCCACTTCCAAGGAGAGAAAAATTCAGTCCTAGTTATAATAAATAAGTTGAATCTTCTAAAAATTCTCCAATTCCTAACCAGAGAATATCTAATATGTTTTAAATTGAGGGTATACTCATATATCATTGCATTTATTTTTCAAAAAGGTCATACTTGGAGTTTATAAAGGCTCTGTTCCATTGTCATGAAGTCGTTATGGAAGCTGTAAAGAAAAGTGTGCGTTCACGATTTGGACAGAACCTTGCGTTTCTAAGGCAGATTTTGCAAGAGGATTCCTGCTCTTCTCGCAAGCAGGCTGATCAAGTCACCCCGACAACAGCAGCTCCTGAGAAAAAGCAAGGGGAGAACCGTAAGGGCCACAAGGGTAGCACTGAAGTAAATTATCTTGAGATTGAAAGGGAGAATGCTAGGAACCTTAAAGGAGAAAAGGAGAGAGGTGGAAGAATTCACCCGAATGCACGTGCCCGAGGTTCTGGTCAAGCTTCAAGGCGAATAACTGAGGAACGTACTCATACGAGTGATGCCATTGAGTTATCTGATATCAGAAGGTGAAAGGCCATTAGTCTTGAGGACTTTCCATGCATCCATTTCCTTACATGGACATTCCAATACACATAGCCTAAAATGGGATTTGTGTTACATGCAAAATATTCTGGGAATTATAGTTCACCTCAGCAGTCAGCTTCCATACTTCGCTTAAAACTTTAAAAAAATCTACAACTTCTAGAATGCAGTCCAACATATATCCCATAATCACTGTACTTGAAACTAAACATTTATATCAATTATCTCACTCAACAAGTCACCTCAACAAGCATGAAAGTTTCCTTTTTTAATTTAAAAACAAAATGAGAACATCTTTATTTCAGGACAAAATCTTTATTATTAGATATATCTTGGGTAATTTTGTACAGGGCAAAGCTTTTGTGAAGGTCTACATGTTCGTCTACTGATTACATTTATTCTATATTGTAAATATTTAACATTACTATTTATTATAGTTGCTGTATCACCAATATACCTGTTGGATAAGGTAAATTAAACTATTTCATTTCCTGTGTTGTACATATTCATATCACTAGTGAGTTTTCTTATGCAACATACTGTAATTTTATATCATTCTATAATTTTATTGGTAGTTGTTAATTCTTTATTTATTAAACACCTTAATCTATTAAACATCTTATTCAAGCCTAACAAAAATTGCATTTTTATTGGTAGTTTTAACTAGAGTATCATTAAATCATGCTGTTAACTGCTAACATATTGTTATCTGGTAATTATTTAGTGACGTTTTCCTTTCTGTCTTAGGCCTATCCTGGCAAAATCAAACCAATGAATAGTAAATTAGAAAAAAAATAAAATATATAATTATTTCTTCGCATTAATCATTCATTACATGTATAAATGAACACTTCAACTTTTTCTCTAAATATAGATTTGCAAAATTGTCTTTTGATTTTAACGAAGGCCCTCCAATCACAAAATCTTTTGATGATTTTTGTCTGTACTTTTATTTGGTTAGTATACCCTACTTAAGATATGTTTTCTATTTTCCAAAATTTGACATTTATTTCCAGACTCGTTCCTTCTGTCCTATCACAAATTGTTGAATAAAGATAAACTGTCTGATCTCACCATCCAATTGTGATTGTGTGCAACAATTGGTCCGTAATGTACAGGGTATGTTTGTCTATAAGCATTAAAAATAAATGAGCTATACAATAACACCAGGATAAAACAGTCTTTACAATTTGTGTCTTTACCTTCAATTGTAATAGCCATGGGAAGGCATTTGTAATAACCTGATATAACAGTGGAGAATGTCGTTTCACAGTCAAATGACCAAGACAATATGTTTTGATGATCTGATCACATATGCAAAACTTGCTTTAATTACAAAAATAAAATTCATGTTATCAGTTGCTGGTATCAATGATATAAGTCAATGATATAACCAAACCTATTTTTAAGTATTTGCAGTATTGGGCAGACCTGTCCAGAAAGTTCTGCAACTTAATTCTGTTTGTATTGCCCATGTTTACGTATTTTAAAAGCTGCCCTAAGACCGCTCTCTTCTTCTGTTTCACTTTTTCTAAGGGTAGCCATTTGAAGTACAATTTAAAATGTAGACCAATCGAGGACATTTAATTAAAGGCCTACTAAATAATTAAGAGCTAATAAACAATTAGCAGTGATTAATTTTCCTTTTAAAAAATTGTTAGAGATGCCTGTGCTCTTAACAAATAAAATATAAAACTTAAAGTCCTTAAAATAGAAGCAACTTGATCCTCCATCACTGCATTAGAGTACAGTCTGTTACTGTATAGTTCCAGTACACTGCCTTTTCATGCATACCCTTTAAAGTCATACAATATAATCCTTATTAACTCCATCATTTTATGTTGTGGGGATTACTTTATTGTACCTTGTTCTCAGGCTGTCATTCATGGCTATGTTTTGTTTCATTTGGGAGGTTTTCTGCATGCCTCTGTGCTTTTCAGCTGATGGTATTGCTGTTTAGTGAAGTGTATCATCTTTTGAACAAACGTTATAAAAAGGAAACAGTAAATCCAAAATTGTAATTGAAAATACTTCTGCATTATGACTAGGCTGTAAGTACTTAAGAAGGTAATAGCAATATCATAGTCAGTTAATCATATAATTCACAGAATTCCATGAAACTGAACACTGTACCATTGCAGTTAAATAGAGAATCCTAATTGATTGCCAATTCTAGATTTCTTCAATTGTCTTAGATTTCAGAAACAAATTAAATTTTCTGTACTTTGTGAAAATGGGCAGAATCTTCCCAGGGGTCTGAATGCTGTCAGTTGTGGCAAGAAGTTTGGGAGAATCGTATAAAGTCAAATGAGGCCTTTCTTGAATTTGGGAGCAACAAACCGTGTTTCAAAGCTCTGGAAAAATAGGCAAACTTCTTGTTAATGAATGCAAATGGCCTATGAAGGGGGATCATAGCTCATTGTCACTCATTATTACCTAATCTCACCTAATTAATCAGCACTCTCCTATTCTCCCACCCACCAAACAGAAACTAGATGTCGCAACTTCCCGACATAAAATTCTGAGCGGGCACATTGCGATTCCAGCTCATCACTTGCTCCTCCCAACTTTCTCCAGTCATTCAGCATTTCAGGTTCTCCTCCTTGTAGGGGGTGGCAATTTGAATTTTGGGTGTACACCTTCTGTTTTGATTCTTTCTGCCCTATTGTGGGCTGTTTTCTTATGGCATGAGAGAGGGTGAGGATATCCCAACAGTGGCACCCCAACGTCATTGGCAAGTACGAGAATCAAGCTAGCAGCATATGAGAGGGTAGGCAGTCAATGAGATGACATTCAGACAAAAGCATGAGAAAACTCACCAGACCTCATGAAAAGAGATCCTCAATTAAATCCGGTAAAAATGACAGTTTGCCAAAATATGACATGACTCAGCCTAATGTACTTGATGTTACAAAAATAGAATTACCCTTTTTTAAAGGCTAATTCAGACAAGCAGTATATTTTCTAGAAAATTGAACTTACAAAGAGATAACTTTTAACTCTTAGGCCATTAACATGTCCAAGGAAATACCTTCACCTCACACATCTTGATTCTGACAAGTGTCAGTATCGCAGCGATACTGACAATCAAACATCAATAGGTTTAACACTGGAACCAAATGAAGCAAATTGATAAATATAAACAATTATAGACATAATATAATGCTTTTAAAATAATTTCACTGCTTACCTTATTCCCTAATTTACTGTTCCCTATTTTGTTTAAGCAAAACTATTGTGATTGAAACCCTGTAAAAAAAAGGACATTAAAATGCATGATTATCTTTTGTAGCTCTTGAAAAAAGGCTAGTTTATACCAAGATTTGTTCTTCAACTTTCGTCCCAACCAAGAGGAAAATGAGCAACGTTAAGAGAAAACTGAGAGTTTTGCAGTATCTTTAATCAACATGAGGGATAAAGTATTTCAGTTTAGCTTATTGCTCTTTAAGGAGCCTTTCTGTGTGCAAATTGGTGGTCTGGTTCCCTACTTTATAACAGTGATTACATTTCAAAAATATTGAATTGGTTTTGAGGAGCAATAAGACATCCTGGAGCACGTGGAAAGCACTCATTTTAAAGTACATGCAGTTACATCAGTGAAAAGTTATTCATGTGAGGATAATGAGTTCCCTTTTATATTGAAATGCAATTTCCTGTGAGAGGGGTAAGGAGCTTTCATGTGGGAATTTAAGGCTTTAGTCTGAGTTTTATTTATAAATAATTAAGTTGACTTTTTTTTGCTAAATGCTAATGATTCAATTTGCTTGGCTCAGATTGCTTATTTCGATGGTAAAAAATTGTTTAAGAAAAATGTTACGTCAGGGTGAAATAGCAGATTTAATGTTTGCTTGTTCTTATTTCACTAATTGATGCAAGCTGCAATCAGAGCAGTTCATTGTATTGTATTTATTCCTCTAAAGGAGAACTAAAGAAAACAAACTGATGTTTGGTAAAGGCAGAAAAAGTTCAATCTCTGAAAATGATGGTCATCCCATTCCAAGTATTTAAATCCAGTTAATGTGAAACCATTGCAAGGTCACACAAACTCAGGAAGGGAGAGAAGATTATTTAAGCTTTTGATGTAGTTACATGCCTATGGTATCTAGTGGGATTGCACCACATTTACACACATATTGATTTACAAATTCCAGCATTGTTATAAAAGGAGCTGCTACTTGCTTAAATACAATACACTATTAAGCTGTTATCAGCTTTAAACTATTAATGAGCACTAGTGGCTACATTAGTAGTTTGAATATCTTCATTTGTTTCCAGTAGCCCCTCTTGAAAACCTTAGGACAAACAAAAAAAGAAAATTTTCTCAATTATACTTCAACTATCATTAGATGTAATAATGTTCAATTTTGTTTGAGCATTAAATTGTAAGACAGGAGACAATTTATTTTGTAATTGATTGTAAACCATACTCACACTTAACGCACAAGATTGTGGGATAAAGTCCCACTTTGAGATTTAAGGTACCTAAGAAGATAGTTCAATAGTAAGAGAGGGCGACACTGTTGGAGCTAACTAAATTACATTTGTATGAGAAACTGAACCAAAGTCCTATCCTGACCCTCAGGAAGACATAAAGGCCCCAAGATACTATTTTAAAAAGGCAGTTTGTGGTGTCGATGGTAGCCAGGATGTGTATGTGCTGGTGTTGGACTAGGGTAGACAAAGTCAGAAGTCACACGACCCCAGATTATAGTCCAACAGGTTTATTTGAAATCACAAGCTTTCATGCAGTGCTCCTTCATCAGGTGAAGTGTAAAAGTCACTTCACCTAACAAAGGAGCAGCGCTCTGAAATTTTGTGATTTCAAATGAACCTGTTGGACTATAACCTGGTGTCGTGTGACTTCCCACCTTATTTTAGAAAGAGGAGGGGAGTTTATCCAATGACTCGATCAATACTTATCTCTCACAGGAGTGTTCTTAATTTTGTTATTTGATAAGTAATTTGACCTTGACTGTATACACTTCACAGAGTTATTGAATTAAATGAACCATGCGTATAAATAATCACCAAAGCAGAAAATTCCCCATTATAGTTATGAACAAACAAGCTGCTTCTCAGACAATGGTATTCGGAAGTGCATTAGAGATTTGTAACCTGGCTATTAATCATGGCTATGTGGCTGCCAAACAAAATTCTTATTGAAACAAAAAGGCACAAAGATTGTTTCTGCAGGTGAAGAGACAAAACTGTGCTTGTGCACTTGACCACAGAATGTAAGATAAAGCAGGAACAGACCTGCAATTCAGTTTTTAGATTCACAAAACTCAGGTCTTAAACCTCACTAGTTAATTCTGATACAATTTTTTTCACTCTTCAATTTAATGTTCATCCATACAATACATTTAAGGTCAAATTTCTTCCCAATGATTAATATGTGAAAGCCCTATGACACAGACTTTACTTGTAATCTATGATGTAAATTTTGGTGTTATTTTCAAATCCTATTGCACATTCTTAAATCTTAGCAATGAAAGAAGACTTTTACTAATTCATTGATTTTCATGACTTCAGAATGTCCTAAAGTCAATGAAGTGATTCTGAAAAGTAGCTACTGATAATGTAGGAAATGAGGTACCCAATTTGCATACAACAAGGTCCTACAAACAGCAATGTGATACTGACTAGATTATCTGTGTCAGAGATTGAGGGACAAATAGTGATCAGGACTCTGCAGATATCGATAGTACAATGGGATATTTCCCAACCGCAGCTGGAGAGGGCAGACTGGATCTTTGTTTAATAACTGACCAGAGAGATGGCACTCCTGATAGTAAAGCATTCACTCAATGTTGCATTCGAGTGCCAGGAACTAGGTTGGATGTAAAAAGCTACTGTAAAGGCTACAACAAAGATGCATTCTCCAAGGTACAAACACTGAAAGGGAAAGTTAAATCAACTATGGTTAACAAAGTAAGTTTAAGATTGTATTTGATCAAAGAAGTGTTTTTTACAGATTTCAGAAAAAGTGGTAAGCAGGGAATTGAGAGAATTTCAGAACCCAACGAAGGAGGACCAAAAGCTGGTTAGCTGGTTAAAGGGAGAAAAGAGAATTTTATTACAGACTAGCAAGAAACATGGAGCCATCTGTAAAAGTTTCTTTAGATTTGTGCAAAGGGAAAGGGCTCATTACGATTGGATAC